GCCGTGGGCTGGGCGGGCCAGGCGGGCTGCTCTGAAGGGTGCCGCTCTGCCTTCACGTAGGGGCTCAGGTCTTGTCTCTGGAACTTTGATGTGGAGACCCGCTCTTGCTGGCCTGTGGAGGCGTGGGTCCTTTTGTAACACCCGCGGTTCCTCTTCTAGCGATTGGGGCATCTGGGAAATAGGGTTTGGGGGGATGCTGAGCTCACCTTCCAGAACCCCTCCTGGACCTTCCCTCTAGAACAAGCTCCAGGGACATGCCCATGAGGATGGGGAGGCCTGGGGAGGCCCTGGAACCCCCACCAGTTGCTCCCCTCCTGCCTCCTTTTCCTCCACCTCCTCTTCCTTTTCTCCCTTTCTCTTTCTCTCTCTGTCTCTCCCTCTCTCTCTCCATTTCTCCCCCTGCTCTCTCCATTTCTCCCCCTCCTTCTCTCCATCTCTCCCTCAATTTCTCTCCGACTCTCTCTCTACTTCTCTCTCCGTCTCTCTCTCTCTTTCTCTCTCCGTCTCTCCCTTTCTTGTCTTTCTCTCTCCCTTTCTCTCTCCCACCCCCAAGGAACTTTGTGGCCTGTGCATTCTCCACCCTTTCTCTCTCAAGACCCCTAACCTGCCCTCTGCCTGCTGGCCTGGCCTGGCCTGCCCTCTTCGCCCTCTGTCTTCCCGCTGCAGTCCTGGCAGGCTGGCGGTCACACCTGCTGCCCACAGGGTGGGGAGGAGGCGAGATGCCAGAGCGCAGCGTCCGCTCCCCTTTGCCCTTCAAGGGAGTCCTTGCTGGAATCTTCCAGGCACTCTCCCGCACCCCTGATTGGCCAGTGCAGGGTTTGTCTCGGAGGGCCTGCTGTGGTCTCCGGCAGCTGCCGCAGCCTCCGTCCGCGTCCACGCTGCTGGCCCCATCTGCTTGCGCGTCCTCCTCGCACTGCGTGCGCTGGCTGAAGGAGAGACTCGCTTGCTGGCACCGCGTGACATCGTAGACACAGAGAAACGGGCAGTACGTTTTCTTGGTGACTTTGGAGCTTTGCGAGGGCCGAGGCGGCGTGGCGGTCGCGGGGGCACCAGAGCTCCCAGAGGGGCTGCCCGGTCAGCGCCGTTCCTCACTCAGTGTTACAGCGTGAGGGACATCGGGGGCAAGGGCAGGTCCCCGATGCCGCTTCAGCCTGGAGCTGCGTGGGGAGGCCGCTGCCGGAGGAAGGGGTCAGGAAGAGAGCAGAGTGAGCAGGGCCCCCGTCTCAGTCCC